CAGTACATTGCAGGCCTCAATAGGCATATATGTTCAAGAAGGTGGGAATTAAATCCCATGAAGATTCAGGGACCTATTATTTTAGTAAAATGGATGGTGGCTGCATTACAGCCACACTCAAGGGTGACCTTGAAAGACAGTCACAAAGGAAAATATTTCCAATGACAGAGTTTTGAACAGTGCACCTGTACATCCACATTGTGTAGAAGGAGAAGGTCAGTATATATATATGTAGAAAGTCATGTGCAGTGGTGAATATAAATGGCATCATATGGTCTTGTTAGCCAGTTAAGAGCCTGAAAGGAAGTCCTAGAAGGTCTGAGGCAAAAGACATCTGGGGTAGAAATATATGAATGGATATATGAAAGTATGCAAAATATTTAAAGATTTTTGTATTACATGTAAATGTCCACTGAAAAGCATTCACTGTGGAAGAGGCACAAGTAGACAAATGTCTGATTGACATCAGCAGTCTTTTGTTTTCTTTGCCAAGCATGATGTCCTTCTCCAGGGACTAGTCTCTCCTGATAACATGTCCAAAGTACGTGAGATGAAGTCTTACATCTTTGCTTCTAAGAAGCATTCTAGCTGTACTTCTTTTGAGATAGATTTGTTCATTCTTCCAGCAGGCCATGGCATATTCAATATTCTTTGCCAACACTATAATTCATGTGCATGAATTCTTCTTTGTTCTTCCTTATATTTTGTTGACTACATTGGGTTAATTCCATCCTAGAAGGGCCGATGATTTGTTTTCACAGGAATAGACATCTATTTAGGGTTTGGGTTTGCCTTTATTTTTCCTACTTGTGGATTCTCAGCTGGCATCACAATACAGGGATGTACAGAGTGCCTGATCTGGAGGCATGGAATTCTACAAAACATATAATTAAAAGAGAAACTCACTCTTAAAAGAGAAACTCACTCTGAAGTGAAGAAGTGCAACAGTGGGTCTATGACCATGAGATCTACTGGTTGTAATGTACATCACACTATCAAGAAGAAGCCAGACAGATGAAGCATTGGAATGCTCTGCTGAAGGTGCAGGTGAAGCTCAGAGGTGATCCTCAGGAGGCAGTATATGTATAAAACCAAAGAACTCTCTATATGGTACTGTGTTCCTTTGGATGCTGGATCCAAAGGAGAAGCAGGAGTGTCCCAACTTCTCATCTCTCCCAATGCCCTGCTGGAGAACTTTGTGTTTCTGTTCTTGCAGCTCTGCAGGGTTAGAAGTTCTGTACCCAAAGGGGATATACTTTTGCCAAGGGAAAGAACAAGGGACGTACTGAACTCGAGCTATGGCCGACACTTGAGCACCTTGAACTCCTTGTGTCTAAGGAGCAGAAGGTGAGGAGTCACTATCTTGGCAATAGTGATCAACCTTAATCAATAGGAGTCAGTAGGGCTGCTGTTCCACAGTGGAAGCAGGGAGAAATATGTGTTGTACTCACCTGATGCACATTAGTGTCTCTTGGAACTCCTTGCCGAATTCTAACTGAATGGACAAGTGCAGCAGCCCTGGCCTTAGATAGGTATGGTTATATTTAGTTACTTCATACCCTTAAGAACTGGGGTTTGGGTCACAACACTATGAGGACATGCAGAAGTGATAGATGAGAGTAAGTAGAATTTAGACAGTTGGAGGAAGGAGGTGATGAGAACTACTTGTGCCTCTGAGATCATTTGCAGTGACAGGAGTTACAGTTTGCCCATTAACCTCATTCTTCTAAATCTCTCCTCAGAAAGAGAAATCCATGGAAACTATTGAAAAGTTGCTTCCCAAAATATATGGAGAAGTGGATCTGTGCAGCACAAGGAGTGGGCTGGGGCAGTCAGGGGAGTCTATTGCTCTCCCTTTCAGAGAGAATCTGTAGTGAGGAGTGAAGTGAACTGATAGCCTCCAGCTACATCTTCAAGATTCACTACCCCCTTGTAGCTGAGGACATGCTTTCCCTTGGAGCTCCCAGTCAATGATCAAACTTGGTAGAGATACAAGGGCCTGAGGATTTCTGCACAACACAAGCCTCCTCTATGGGCAAGTTTTGCACTGGAGCTCCTCACTGTGCTGGCCCAGACTTTCTAGAGCTGTGCCACAGTTTGAGGTTCTTCCTACTCAAGCCTCCTTTCTGTCTCTTCTCCTTTCATAGGTGTCAGACCTGTATTGTGATCTAAAGGTTTCCCTAACTATTCATGCTTCCTCTCTCCTATATCATCCACAGGCATTACTCCTAATCAATCTTTTGTACTTCTAACTCTATATTGGCATACAGTTTTGGAAGGCCCAAACTACACAGCCTCTATTCTGACATCATGGAAATAAGGCACCTACCTGGGACTTCACAGATAGGTAGTCTCTGTTAAATTAAGGAAGGAGTAATTTATTTGTACATCTCTCCTCCTGAAGGCTGGCAGTTCAAACCCACCAGCCACTCCTTGGAAGGAAGATGGGGCAATCTACTTCCATAGTGATACTGCCTCAGAAACCCAAGGAGGGGTTGCTATGAGTCGGGTCCGACTGGACGGCACATGACAGCAACAATAACAATTTCTAAGTAATGAAGAGTGGGGTATGTCAAAGAGTAAAGTTTTAATTTTGTATTGTTTTGTATTTGGAAAACTCAAAACACAGGAACGGGCTATTTTCTCTTTCCTCTCTCCTCCCCTGAAAAGATATACCAAACTTCAGTAAGAGAAGAAACAAGTACTTTCTGTTATGGATTGAATTATGTTTCCCCAAAATAAGTGTTGGAAATCCTAATGTCTATGCTTATTGTTATAATCCCATTCAGGAATGAGTTATCTTTTTTATGTTAATGAGATAGGATTAGTATAAGGTATATCTTGAACAATCTCTTTTGAGATATGAAAGATATAAACAAGTGAGCAGAGAGAAAGAGATGAGGTAAGATGGATGTCAAGACATATGGAGATGTCCAAGGAACCAGAAGCTGAAGAGAGACAAGGACCCCCCTCCAGAGCTGACAGAGATAAGCCCTTCTCCTTGAGCTACCACTCTGATTCAGATTGCTAGTCTCTTAAATTGTGAGAAAACAAATGTTTGTTAAAACCATCTGCTTGTGGTAGTTCTATTACAGTAGCACTAGATAACTGAGACCCTTTCTGAGCATAATAACAAGAGATGCTCACAGGAGTGTTGATCTGGGCAGTGAAAGATCTGATTTTCTTGGAATTATCTTATTCCCTAAGAGCAAACCACAGAGACAACTATGCTCTTTCCTCTTCAACTCCCAGGAATCAGCCTCAGGGATTATCCAGCCAAGATCCATACAGCCACAGTTAAATTTTTAGGAGTAAAAAATATTTAATGCCAAGAGCTTGAATTTGTATAGCATTTTTATTTACGATGAGTTCATAAAGGCCTTTTTTTTTTTTTTACAATTAATTTTCCTCCCAACACCCCTCTCAATTGTCATGAAACAACCACAGCAATATTATTATCATTACATTGGAGAACAGAAACATAAAACACAAAATTTAAGAGCTATTAGGAAGGCAATGGTGAAATAATGGGAAAAGTCAACACTAAGAACAAGATTTTTCCCTGTCCAGTAGATTAGCCTTTGTACGAATGCTTCTAAACATGTCTCATGGTACCAGCACAGAATGAAGAGACCCTCGACGTGCTGTGTTTCCTCACTTCCTGTTATGGACTAAATTGTGTTCCTCCAAAATTTATGTTGAACTTCTAACCCCTGGTACTTTTGAATGTGACCTTGCTTAGAAACAGGGTCTTTGAAGATCATACATACGTGAGTAGTGTGGGTCCTAATCCGATCTGAGTGGTGTCCCATTAAACAGAAGGAATACAGAGACAAAGAGACAGAGGGAAGATTCATCTACAAGCCAAGGAATGCTTGGGGCTAGCAGAAACTGAGAAAGAGCAGAAAGGACATTACCCTAGGGCTTTGAAGAGAACCTGGCCCTGCCAATACCTTGAATTTTGACAGCTAACCTCCAGAACTTCGAGACAATAAATTTCTGTTGTTTAAAGCCACCCACTTTGTGGTACTCTGCTTTGTCAGTCTTAGGAAATAGATACCATTCCCTTTTGCAAATTTCTGTGCATGTGCATGCATGTGTGCGTGCATGAATGCATGTGGTGGGGGTGGGTGAGGTACAGATGGAAAATTTTGTGAAGAAAACCTGAGAGACAGCTGATAATTTAAGTGACTTGTCCAATGTGAGTTGATAGAACAGAGGTCTCATGACTCTGAACGCAGTGCTCTTGACCAGTGCTGTTTTTGCAGTTACATCTTCATGTGAATGTTTCTATCTTCCTCTTTTGCTCCTCTTCAGTCCACACAGGATCATGATAAACCTGCCCCTCCAGCAGTCTCAATTATTCACATACTTTTTAATATTTGTTGTTAGTGATATTTTTCAAAAGGCTTTGATTTTACCACCAAAAGAAGATTAGCCACTTTCTGTAGTAAAAATATTTTTGTTTATGTCATCTTACTTTTACTATAATCCATAAACATAATTTTATATATCAATCTCTCTCTATATATATAATTTTAATCTATATATTAAGCATAAACATAATTAAGGCATCATAGAATTCATGTTTTAAGGAACTAAGTCTCCAAGTGTTGCCATGAGTCAGTATTGATTCGATGGCAGGGGGTTTTATTTTTTTTGATCTCTAAAGTTTTAGAAGCTATTTTACATTGCTCTCTAATTTCAAACAGTAAAACATGAGAAGTAAAGCTGCCAACTTAATCTTAGAGTGCAAGCTTAAATTTAGTAGAATAAATTAAGTGCTTTCAGCAATCTCAAGTAAAGAATTAACAGGATGAATAATCTTGACATGGTTTGATTATCATTGGTTTATTCTTATTACTCATTTACCTTTTTATTTGCAGATCTAAGCAGAATGAAAATTCTACCTTTAGTGGGTTCAACAGAACTATGAACCGAAATGACACATGCACTCATTTGCTATAACTCTGGACATTTATCTTGCTTTAAAACACTAATCATTCAAACCTCTTACTGAGCAGTGAATGCTCATCTATGCACAATCCATTTCTCTTTCTGCTGGAATTTTCTTTGGTGTCTATGGAATTGTCACTAGACAATTCCAAGTGTACATTTTTAGGCATGTGCAAGACGGGAACACAGATTCCAGTGGGCGAGTCCTCCCACAAACACACACTAAACCATTCCAGCCTCCACATCATTGCTTTAACAGGCCAATAAACAAAACCCCAGGGTGGGGGGGAGAGGGCACCCAACACTGCTTATTCCTTCTTAACCCTTATTGTTGCTGTTAAAAGCCACCGAATCGCTTTCAGCCCACAGCGAGCCCATGTATTACGGAATTGAACTATGTTCCATAAGGTTTTTTTGGCTGTAATCTTTATGGAAGCAAATCGCCAGGCCTTTCTTCCACAGTGCCACTGGTGGGTTAGAACTGCATACCTTTAGTTTAGTAGCTGAGAGTAAACTGTTTTGCACCCAGAGAACTATGATGTTGACATAACATTTGGGAACCCAAGCCAAAATTTCCTAAAAATGTATGTTAAGTTTGCTAAATCTGTAGTGAGATTTACTGTGATGAACTCCCTTTTTTGCAATTTCGTGATGATGCAGCAGGTAAGCGCTCTGCTGCTGTCTGAAAAGTCAGCAGTTTGAACCTACCAGCTACTCTGTGGGACAAAAATGTGACACTCTGTTTTTATAAAGATTTACAGCCTTGGAAATCTTATGGGGCAGATCTACTCTGTCCTATAGAGTAGCTGTGCATCAAAATTGACTCCACGGCCATGGGTTTGCTTTTCAATGCTTGGTTAGTTTTTAAATCTGTGATTTCTGTCTTAGACAATATGCTACTCTTGGACATCAGATAATAATTGATTTCTATCATTGGTTTGTGTTGTTAGGGAAGGGACAGAAACAGTCCTGTTAGGAAATCATTTGCTTGCATTCAAGTGGCCTCATGTTTTTTAATCATGAGAAAAGGTTTTGCTGACTGCACTGGACGTGCAGGCAGGCTTTAGGCACTGAGTGTTCCTTTATTCATCTCAGTTATAAACAAATAACAAATTATGCAACTAAGTCTCTCAAGTTTTTGCTTCTTGGTTTCGACGACTCAGGGAGCTCTTTCTCACACCCTGAGCAGCTCAGGGAGAGAATGGACAGGCCCTCTGCTGGAAGCACATCAAATGCAGAAACTAGGCCACTCAGTGCCGGATGGTTCTCAGTCCAGTGCCACTGGAAGCTCACACTTTCATTCTCTTCAGGACCAAATGCTGGCATCTTGAGCCACACAGTTAATGCCTCTGTGGATATTAAAGAGTAGTGTGTGGGAATGAGAGGCAATGTCAGGCAGCCTTGGACAAATAGGAAAGAGCTTAGAAGACTCTTGCTACCATTTCACTCTGCATTTTGAAGGTCCTCTTTGCAGGTCTAAGTTCTTTTGAGTACAGGAATGATCCTGTAAGAATGGTAATTTGATTTTATTCCTTTCAAATGGAATGAAATTGAAATATTTTAATTGTGCACTCAAAATCGCAACAATAAGCCAACCTTAACATAGGCTGGTTTTGTTCTAAAGGTTACTTGCCTTTTTTTTTTTTTTTAAATTGCCCTTTTCCCGTGCCCCCCCCCCCCAATTCCCAAAGTTTTAACCTTTTCTTCTAAAAATAAAGTAGTAGAATCTTACCTTTGTTCTGCATAGAGTCTCTTCAGAGATGACATTTTCACTTTTGTCGCTGGTGGCTTCTTCTAAAACTAAATCGAGAAAGATATAATGGAGAAGACAAATCTTGAAAACATTTGGTACCTATAGGAATATCCTTGATGAAGAATAGACAGGTAAATGGAATATGCTATTGAAAACACCATCATTAGATATTCTTCCTTTCAAATTTTGCTATAGCACTTCATTATTTATAAGTGTCACTGAGCCTGCCCATATGTTTGCCTATGTTTTGTTCCCTTTCTAGAGTCCCTGGGTGATGCACTCGGCTTCTCACCTAAAACAGGAAGTTTGAGTCTACCTAGAGGCATCTTAGAAGAAAGCCCTGGCAATCTACTTCCAAATTATCAGCCACTGAACACCCTATGGAGCACAGTTCTCTTCTGACACATAAGGGGTCATGAGGAGCCAGAGCTGACTCAATGACTACTGTTTTTTTCTTACCCACTGTGTTCCATGAAAATTCTTCTAGTCCACCATCAATAATCCTCAAACTCTGGATGGATTTTTAAGTAATAACAGCAAATTTGCTTCAACATAGCCCTTTTGGGAACTCAGAACACACAGGCTTGTGAGCTTTGTTTGCCAGGCTTGGGTGGGAGCATTTGCTGCCTCAGTAGACAAGGACCACATTACAGGTAACTTAGGGCAACTCTCAAGTTTCCAAACATTAACTAGCTATTTTGTATGCTATACCGATTTCTAGCTTCTCAGCTTTACCCTAACTCAGAAAGACTGAGAAGGGAGCAGAGAACTTGAATCTCAACTACGGCAAAACAAAAGTGATCTAACATTCGTTAATGATTTGTATTTTTCAACATAGTTTTATAATGCTGATCTATTTTCTAATCTTAATTTATGCTCATAAAAACCTCATCAGCTAGAGATAAGGTAGTCCTGTTTTATATGTGGGGAAATTAAGTAACAGTGAGGCTAAATGATTGCATTCCCCTAGTTTAAGACGAAATAAATGGTGAAGTTTGGATTAAGATTCAAAACTTGCTAATGCAATACTATGTAGCTGGGGCTAAGGGCTGGGAGGAAGATTACATGTAAACATTTAAAGAAAGGATTTCCTATAGTTTTTATTCTCCTATCCTGTCCATTGATACATTTACATAAGTAATGAGGAATTGATTATGGCTTTAAAATTACATTTCTCTTCATCTCTTTCATATAGCACTGAGGTATCCAGTGCCTCAGGCATTTGACTGCTAACCAGGAGGCCAGAGGACTCCTCAGAAGAAAGGTTGGGCAGCCTACTTCCGCAGTGATACTGCCTCGGAAACTCAAGGAGGGGTTGCTATAAGTCAGGCTGGATTTGACACCACATAACAATTCTATAATATATAAATAAATGATATGATAAGCTATAATTCTGAATGAAAAAATTCTTCAGAAAATTAAATTGTAAAAAGTGAAATAATTGCAAGGCTAATAATTCAGGGTATAGCAAAAATGTGTTGACCTGTAGCTTGTAATCTTCATTAAAAACATTTCTTGTATTTCAGTGGTTCAGTGCTGAAATGCTATACACTGCAGCATTTGTGGTACATGGTGCAATGGGCACATGCAGTTTTATATATCCTAGATATTGGAAAGTGAAAATTAATGACAGTAAAAATAAAACAATGTGCTATTTCAGTAAAATTCCTGGGTGGTGCAGTTAACACACTTGGCTGCTAACAAAAATGTTGGAGGTTCAAGTCCACCCAAAGACACCTTGCAAGAAAGGCCTGGGGATCTACTTCTAAAAAATCAGCTACTAAAACCCTATGGAGCACAGTTCTACTCTGACTCATGGGATCATCATGGGTTGGAATAGACTCCACAACAACTGGAAAAAAAATCAGTAAACAATTAGATTTGGAGTAATGTGAGTACAATCAAAATAGAAAATTTTGATTTAACTAAAAGCCCTCACTCAAAAAAAATAACTCACTGCCATCAACTTGATTTGACTCATAGCGACCCCTGTTGGGTTTCCAAGGCTGTAAATCTTAATGGAAACAGATTACCCCATCTTCCTTCTACAGGACAGCTGGTGGGTTTGAACCGCTGACCTTCTAGTTAGCAGCCAAGTGCCTTATCCACTATGCCACCAGAGCTCCTTAATGAGAGCCCATACAGTTGCTATTTTTTCAGCTACCATTTTATAGTTCTAAATGCAAAAATATACACTCATTTCTGCCCTCCCTCACTTCCATCAAGAATGATAAGATGCACATAGGTCAGGTGTGACCAGGCCAGGGAGGAAGGGGCAACTTGGAGTTCTGTAAACTGACCTCTTAGAATCTCATCAAGTTGTTCCACCATAAACTTTGCATCTTCTTCAGTGAAGCACATAGGTGGTTTTATTTTAAGCACATTTCTATGAGGTCCATCAGCACTAAGAAGAACTCGCTTTTCTTTCATCCTAATTAGTGTAGGAAACATACATGAGTGTATACAAATGGTAAGATTATTCAAGAATGATGTGAACAAAGAGCAGCTTGGTGTTCTGCATGTAAGAAACCCACTTTTACAAACTGCATGTCTTGAACATCCCTGTATTGGAGGTGGGAGGAAGTAAAACAAGATTTTCAACTGGGTGAGCATTGGAGATCCAAGATACCAATGGATGTGGGGGGTGGATTTACTTGTAGATGACGTGTTGAGCTTCAGCTGTGGCAGGGGTCCTTTTCTGCTGGTCTTTCACTAAGTCAATCCCAATAAAAAGGCCAACACCTCTGAGGGAGGAGAAGAAAGTAAACTTGACACATGCTCTAATGAAGCACTGCATTGCTACAAAAAATTATCACCATTCCCAAACTTCATTTCAATTTGAAGCCAAATGTGATGCCCTTCAAGGGCAATCATTATTGATTCTGATTAACCCAAGATACTAACTTTGTGTTCACAGCTCTTTCTAGTTTTTGAAGGTTAGTTATTTGCCATCCAGGTTTTTTCATTTAGTTATAAAAAAAAAAAATTCTAAAAGCATGCCATTTAGTTTCTCAGGACAATAGGATGATAAATGTCTGTACGCATCTATGAAAAATATCGTTTTCCTGAGTAGCATTTAAAATAATTTTTAACAGATCATTTAGAACTACTTTAAGCTCTTTCAATCTTTTGGGTGATGAAATTACTCTAGTTTTATTTATTTATTTTTTAAAAAGTATAGAAACTAGAAAGGATATATCCTCAAATATTAACAGTGGTGATAGCTGAGTTCCGGATTATGAATGATTTTTGCTTTTGGTATTTCTCCATATTTTCTAGACTTAGTTTTATTTATCTTATTTTAGATTTATAAGACAAAACATACACTATTTTCATTTTTGAAAAGTGACTAACTACACAATGACATCATGATAAACATACCTGATATCTCCTATCAAAGTATGCTTAGCTTTCTGTTCATTCAGTAACTCAATAAGATAATTCCCTACTCTGGTGGCATTTCCTTGAAGGTCTTCATTTTCAATGATATCCAGGACAGCCAGACCAACAGCACATGATACTGGATTTCCCCCATACTATAGAAAAAAATGAATGAGAAAACATAATAGTTGAATTAGTGGTATCTTTTCATCCACAAGAAATGTAATTCAGACATAAGCAAGTGAAGGTACAGTTTCAATAAAATTTTCTCTCATGACATTTTTCTCAGATTTAGAATGCAGCATGATCTCTAATTCAGGATTGAATAAAAGTTCATTCCAAATTATATTCTCTATGCTGCATAACTAATATAAAGGATTCTTGCAAAATTCATTAGTTCATTCAAACAAAGAAACAAATAAAACAACTGACAGTGTGTTTAGAGTTAAGGATTTTGGAGAGTGGTTCAGTGAGACAATACAAGTTTTTGTCACTGAAGAATTCAATAAAAACAGATAGGCCATGACATCTCCTCCAAATAATTTATGTACCTAGATTTTAATTTTGCTTTGACTGTAACAGGCTCTGTTATGCATACTTCACAAACTGTAATAATTTTCCCAAGTTTAAAGACTATGACTTTTGGGGTTAAATGCAAGTAAATAAAATTTCCCAAAGATAAAAATATCAGTATCTCTTATGGAAGCCATACAACATTTATAGTATTGAATCATCTAAATACTTTAAAGGTGTTTTGGGAATTTAAATATGATACAAAACACACAAGAAGATCATATCATCTGTGTGGTGGGTGGTTAAGTTTGTGTGTGAACTTGGCTGGGCTGGTTGAGTGGCCAGGCAACTGAATGTAGTATTCCGCATGATGAGACTGGTAATCAACTCCATGGTGGAATCTACTGTGAGCAGCTGAGTGGCTGTCTTAGGGATGTGGTCTGCTTCCCGTATATAAGGAGAAGCCTTGGGAATGGTCTCTAGTTTATCGCACCCTTGAACACTGCATGTAGCCATGTCATTGTCCAGCAGCCTGCCATGTTCTGCTGACCTTGGGACTTTCAAGAGACTTGAATTAATGGCCTGCTGTGTGGATTGGTAACATCAGAACTGTGCCTTTTTACTTGTCAACTGTGGATTTGTCAGCCTCCATAGCCAGCAGCTGAGTGAAGAAAAGCCTCCAGCTTCAGTGGGCTGGGAGCTGGAGGCGGAGCTGCAACCCAAGGTTGAGGGGCTGTCACCCAGCCCCTAGAGCCTGGCACTTTGAACTTGAACTTAAAGCCTCCAAAATGTAAGAATAAAATCCTGTTTGTCAAAGCCATCCCATTTGTGGTATATTCTTGTCAGAGTGGCATTAGGTAACCAGAAAAAATTTGTTAATGAAAATATCCTCTAGAGTTTAGCTGGGCAGCCATCTATCATAGAAACAATAAGAACATTTTAGCAAGGAGAAATGTACACAAAGAATAATCCAGGGAGACTTGTGCCAGATAGAATGAAATCTGATTAAAGTTTGACTACAGTCCTTGAGTGGTTAGCTGGTTCAGTGCAATGAATTGCTTGGTATGGCAAGTCATGGTTTTTGTGATTCCCACCAGATGATAAGGTGGGATTATGCAAATGTGAGGTACTTGTGTTCACCAAGGGGATTGGATAGCTTGTTCATATGATAAATAATGTACATGGCACCCTTATGGGAGTGGGACCATGCAAATAAGGTGTCTGAAGACCTAACATGGAGAGAGGTCAGTTTTGCCATCTTGTTAAGCTTAAAATGATCCATCCCAGAAGTGAAGGGAGGGGGGTGGGGTTCACTACCATCAAGAAAGAAGAGCCAGGAATGGAGCATGTCCTTGGGACCCCGAGATCCCTGTGCTAAACCTCCTTGACCCAGCAGACAGAGAGCTGTGACACCAGAGATGATGAGAAACAGGGGCAGAGAAATGACAGCAACCAAGGGACAGGTATGAGACAGAGCATTGGGCTTCCTGTCCCACAGAGCAAGAAATCTGACTGCCTTTGGGCAGTAGGCTTGCTGGTGTAGGGTCCCTCTAGGCATTTATCAGCAGAGCTTAAACAGCTTTGTAACACTTGCTAGAGCAAAGCAGAGGCCAGGCAGAGGGGCCAAAGGCCAGAGAGAGACCTGCCTTTGGGTATGGCAGAGGGGAAGCTGTCCATTTTTACAGCTGGGAATTGTTGTTATGTGCCGTTGAGTTGTCTCTGACTCATACTGACCTTATGTACAACAGAACAAAACGCTGCCTGATTCTGTGCCACCCTTGTTATCCCTACTATACTTGAGCCCATCACTGCAGCCACCATGTCAATCCATCTTGTTGAGGGCCTCCCCTCTTTCATTGACTCTTCACTTTAACAAGCATGACATCCTTCTCCAGAGAATGGTCCCTTCTGACAACATGACCAAAGTAGTTACAAAGTCTGGCCATCCTCACTTCCAAGGAGTTTTCCAGCCTCACTTCTTCCAGGGCAGATTTGTTAGTTCTTTTAGCAGTCTGTGGCACTTTTAGCATTCTTAGCCAACACCACAACTGAAAAGCATCGACTCTTCTTTCATCTTCCTTATTCATTATCCAGCTTTCACATGCATAAGAGGTGATTAAAAATACCATGGCTTGGGTCAGGCACATCTTAGTCTTCAAAGAGATGTCTTTGCTCTTCAGCACTTGAAAGAGGTCTTTTGCAACAGATTTGTCCAATGCATCTTTTGATGTCTTGACTGCTGCTTTCAATGGTGTTCACTGTAGAACCAAGTAGTATGAAATCTTTGACAACTTTAATCTTTTCTCTATGTATTGTGATACTGTTTATTGGTCCAGCAGTGAGGATTTTCATTTTCTTTATGTTGAGGTGTAATCCATAGTGCAGACTGTAGCCTTTAATCTTCATCAGTAAGTGCTCCAAGTCATCCTTAGTTTCAGCAAGCAAAATTGTGTCATCTGCATATCTCAGGTTGTTAATAAGCCTTCCTCTAATCCTGTTGCCA